GCCTCGGAAAGCAGGTGAATGGGATCTGAATTGTTTTGAAAGAAGGGAAAGGGAAGAGGGAGAACGGGAAGGTGGGCGTTCTGAGCTTTTCTTATTGTCCTGATGAATGAACCTAACTGGAGGGGTTGCAGGTAGTTCTGTGCGGGACACAAAGGGGACACGTACGTGACCGTCATGGCCCCAGTGTGTGCAGAGCGGTCCTCTTCCCCAGGCGCGTCCAAGCAGCTTTGCACTCACGGGCTGGTTGGGGCTGGGCAGGCAGTTCCTCCAGGCACTGGCTGGGCACCAGATGTGGGTTCTTCTAGGTCAGGCGGCTCGAGGATGCAGTTTGTGTAAACTGCAGGCATGGCCCGAGCACTGTGTAAACATAGACTATCTCCCACTCCAACGTTTCCTTTGGGGAGGCTCCCTCTCCAGCTGGGATGCTTGATTCCAACTTTCTTATCAACTTGCGCTTCCTACCCTGATATAAGGAAGCTATTAAAGTCTGGTTCCTGGTATTGCCTTGACCCCCCAGGCCATGCTTGCATTGAAGTGAATGCCCCCTTAGAGGAGAACATTCTTCACCTTTGAAAATTCTTTAGCCTCAAATGTCCCACATCAAACAAGCCTGCAAGCATTTTGAAAATGTTTCTCCAAAGCCTTATGCCCTTAACGTTTACTTTCTACTCCAGCTAGTTTATGCCTATTTACTTGGCTTTTGCGACTCTCCTTGGCAAAAGGCAGCCCAGGCTGCCTCTCTCACCCTATTTCTGGAGTTTTTTCCTTCCCAATGTTAGTCTCCTTTTTACTATCCCTTAAATAAATCCCGTTCACCTCTTTTAAAATTTTCCTCCTACTTCCCCTGTCTCCCCTTTGCCCTTCTGATTATCAAAGTCCTACCCTCCTCTCTGTCCAAGTGCCACAGAAACAAGGAATTTGAGGAAAAAGAAGTGGCGACGGACACCCCTCAAGATCTAGCTGTAAAAACTCCACGCATTGCCTAAGCCCTCTTACCTTCATTTTTCTCCCTCTCATCTGAACTCCTATGGAAGTTATAGTCTCTGCCACACAATTTAGGACGTGGTGGTGGTCAGCCTCCAATGCGTCTCTACTCCAGGTGTTCACACCCTTGTGTAGCCCCTCCCAAAATGAACAGGGTCAACCCCCATAGCTAGTAGGTTATTGTGGCTCAGTAAAAAACAATAAGAGACTTCTGCCTCTCTTGGATTATTTTGCAGGCAAGGATCCAGCTGCCATATTGTGAGGACTCTCAAGCAGCCCCATGCAGGGGTCCACGTGGGAAAGAACTGAGGCCACTGCCAAAGGCCAGCACCAACTTGCCAGCCTCGTGAGTGAGCCATCCGGGAAGCAGATCCTAGTCAAGCCCCAGGTAATGGCTTGTCTGCAGCCTCTTGAGAGATCCTGAGTTAGGACCAGGCACCTGTAAGTGGCTGCCGAATTCCTGACCCACAGAGACTAATAATAAGTGAGATAATAAATGTTTCTTGTTGTATTAAGCTGCTAAGTTCTGGAGTGATTTGTTATACAGACATAGAAAACTAATTCAGAACGTAAAAATAAAAATGATAGTAATCATAATAGTAATAGCAATTAATATTACTGAGTGTTTAATAAATGCCAGGCACTGCTTAGCACTTTATACATAATATCTCACTTAACAGTATAGTCAGTCATAATCATCACCACCACAGTTAACACTGGTGAAGTGCTGCACGCATATTCTATTCAGTCAATGAAGTGGGTACGGTGATTAGTATCATTCCCATCTTACTTTTAAAGAACTTGAGACACAGAGAGGTTGAGTCATGTGTCCAGGGCGCACACAGCTTGGATGTGGCAGAGCTGGGACTGGAACCCAGTCTGGCTCTAAAGCCTGCGCCCCCAACCCCTCTTCCCTACACCGTTTGTGCTGGTCTGTGTGAGTCTTGTTTCTCTGATACAAGCTGACTCTTTTTTTAGTGACTGTGCCTTTTGCCTTTGATTCCCCACCACAGTGTGCAGATAATAAGGGCTCAATAAATGCTTAAGGATTTATGGGATCCCCACTCAGCCCTCAGTCATTCAACCACTCGGTGGTGGCACTTACCACTTGTAAATACGGCAACGAACTTATCACATGTAAATACGGTAACGTTCTTATCACATGTAAATACGGTAAAGCTTTTTCCAGGCGGGAGCACAACTGCTGTCACACCGAGAGACCAAGACAAGGGCTCTGTATGGCCCGTGTGGGGATGTGACCTGAGGCCACTCACGTTCCTCGAGCCTCCACGCTTCTGTCCCACCCATTGGGGTACTTTGCCCCGACTGTGGCCCTGGGAACATGGAAAGCATCTTGCATTTACCTGTCAGACGCTGGCTTGGAGAAGCTCTGACAGCCAACAGGTCACATGAAAGCGCAGTTGCTCATGTCCCACATCAACCTCCGCCCCCTCCGGCCCCGCCTTGGGTCTGGGAGTCCGGGAGGTGAGAGCTTGGGAGAAAAGAGGCTGTGGGCCTCCTGCAAAACTGTGGGACCCTTTGTTATCACACGGCTACTGCCAGGGGCTGCTGGCAGGAGCCTGATAGAACAGGTGGCTGGAAACCCTCCCCAGAGTAAAGGTCCTTTGTGTCCTGTCGCTCCAACGTGGACCTGACGGATGACTCAACAACTGCTTTACAAATTCATCTTACCAAACACCTGGGGAGCTCCTCCTAGGAGCAGAGCCCCAGACCAGAAAGATGAATACGACAGGGTCCCTGCTTCCCAAGTGCTAACAGCCAGTGATGAATACTGACTGAATATATAATTCAGACCTCTTTCAAGGCCTGGGGGCAGGGGCGATGGGGAGATGGTGGGGAGGTAGGGGGATGGGAAATTGGGGTTGGGAGGAGGCCAGTTGCCAGGCCCCAGTTTTCACATGAGAGCATCATGCTCAGGCCTGCTTAAATGTTAACCTGCTGGCCTGCCCAGCCTCTTGCCTCTGGAAGCAAGATGCCAGGCTGGATGGAAAGAGCTGTTTCTACATCTGTTCCAAGGGCTTCCTGGAAACACAGAAGAAAGGAAAAGAAAGCCCAGGCCCTTGAGTCCCAGCCTGCTTCTCTCCAGGGAGCTGTGAGTCACCCTTGGGAAATAGTGTGAAGAGCCCACCAGGGCATCCCGAACCTTTACCTGATGGTCTTGACCGTGTCATGGCCTCCCCAGCTGTCTGACCTTCCCAGGGCTGCTGCTGTAACAAAGTACCAACACTGGGTGACTTCAAACAATGGAAACGCACTGTCTCCATTCTGGGGGCTACACGTCCTAATTCAAGTGTGGCCAGGGCCACGCTCTCTCTGGCAGCTCTAGGGGAGGATCCTTCTTTGCTTCATCCAGCATCTGGTGTTTGCCAGCACTCTGGGCACCCCTTGCTTGTACACGCATCACTCCGCTCCCATGGCCATCGTCTTCCTTCCGTCCAAATTTCCCCTTTTTATAAAGACGCCAGTCATATTGGGTTAGGGTCCATCTGACCTCATTTTAATTTGATTTTCTCTGTACAGACCGTGTTTCCTAATAAGGTCACATTCTCAAGTAGTGGGTGTCAGGACTTGGGCATATCTTTTTTTTTTTTTAATATGCTCAATGTGATTCTTTTTTAAAAAATTAATTAATTTTATTTATTTTCGGCTGTGTTAGGTGTTCGTTGCTGTGCACGAGCTTTTTTTTTTTCTCTAGCTGCGGCGAGCAGGGGCTACTCTTCGTTGCAGTGCACAGGCTTCTCACTGCAGTGGCTTCTCTCGTTGGGAGCATGGGCTTTAGGCGCGCAGGCTTCAGTAGTTGTGGCACACGGGCTCAGTAGTTGCGGCGCACGGGCTTAGTTGCTCCGCGGCATGTGGGATCTTCTTGGACCAGCGCTTGAACCCGTGTCCCCTGCGTTGGCAGGCGGATTCTTAACCACTGTGCCACCAGGGAAGCCCTTGGGCATAACTTCTTTGGGGACACAATTGGAATCATATCACTGGTCTCACCAGGCTATTCTTGGCAAGCCCAGTAGCCAAGGGAGAAGGGGACAGGGAGACAGGGACAGAGACAGACAGGATGGAGCAGACAAGAAGGAGATAGCAGGAAACAGACTCAAGTGCACACACATGACCTATATGGGAATAGAATCTAAAAGAGAGTGGGTATATATGTACAGGCATAGCTGATTCACTGTGCTGTAGAGCAGAAATTGACGCAACATTGTAAATCAACTCTACTCCAATAAAAATTAATTTAAAAGAAAAAGAGCACACACAGCTGAAGGTGGTGGCCTTGAACAGGAGAAATGACCCCTTACCCTCTGGCAGAATCCTCCAGCCTCGTTGCCTACAGAAACGGGTGGAGGTCTGGTCGGACACTGCGGAAGAGCGCTAGCGGGGGGAAGGGTGGCAGAGGGATCCGCCAAGTTCAAGGGGGGACATGTAGTTTGAGGACTCAAGTGAGCTGGCAGCCTCGGTGACAAGGCTGACAGGTGTCACAGCCGGGCTTTCCTCAGGTTCCCTTATGCTGTTGCATGTAGGTTTCCGCTCGCCTGGGGGATGTGCAGGCACGTCTGTGGGGGGGCTCTGAGAAGTCAGTTCACCTGCTGACCTGGGGTCCCGTGAAGGAGGTGGGAAGCGTGGCCGCCGGACCCGAAGGGCTGGGCGGGGCGTGCCCTGGCCTTTCCGGGCCTGGAGAGGGGAGCAAAGAAGGGAGAGCCGGAGGGCCCGGAAGACGGCTCGCAGGGCCAGAAGCTGGAATCCAGGATTTGGAGGCAGCACATTTCTGGGTGAGGACAAGGTCCAGGGTGTGGCTTGGGGGTGGGGGTGGCCGGAACGAAGGGGCAGCAGGGGTCCTTGGGGGTCTGTGAGGTGGAGAAGTGCGATGGGTCACCCAGGGGCCTGAGCACAAGAGGCTGGACACAGGGAAGACACCTGGCGGCCATGCCTGGTACCTGCGTGGCTGGAAAGAGGCGGAGCTGGGTGGCGCGCGTCCCCGAGGAGAGGGGCCTGTACGTCTGAGCGCGGGCGTGTCCGGCGAAGCTAGGAGGGGCCGCTGGGACGGGCTGGGCCGGGCAGGTGGGGAGCCCCTAGGGAGTGGCCCCTCGAGGGCTGCTGCCTTTCAGGGTGGAGTTCTGGGGGGCGGAGGTCAGTTTGTTTAGGAAGGGGGTCCCATGCGGGCGCGGGTGGAGAGTGTGCGATGCCGGGGCACGATGAGGGGTCTCGGGAAGCTGTCCCAGAGGGGCCAGGGTGCCCCGGGAAGCTGTGTGTCACATGCAGGCACGAGCCAACCCCAGCGAAGAGGAAGGAAGCGTGGCTCCGACCGGGGCGCAGGGGGCTTCGGGGCCGCAGCAGCGGTCAAAGATGTGGACGTGCGGGCGGGGATTCAGGCCGAGGAGGAGGAAACCAGTTCAGCCAGGTAACTGGTTCGACGAGTGCCCAGGACAAAGCCGGCCGCCTGCAATGACCAAAGAACAGTGTGTTCGGGAGGGTGAGGGAGCACCAATGGCTGGAAAACTAGCGCAGATCCCGGGATGGCCACGAGGGGGCGCCGGCTTCCTCCCGGAGGCACGGGATGCTAGCAGTCCCCGCGGAAGATAACTTCTGAGTTTGCATCGAAAAAGAGAAAAAAGTTTTCGTGTCTGCAGGGCAGCCTTGGCGTTGATCCTGGAAAAGCTGCCTACCCAAGAAGAGAAAGGAGACCAAAGGGTAGGACTACTGCTTCCAAGGTCAAGGTGCCCACTACTGTCACTGGGGAAAGAGAGAGAAGGGGTGGAGAGGCGGGGAGAAGAGGGCAGGAACGGGAGGGAGGGAGAGAAGCGGTGCTGAGATCCACACGGGGAGCAAAGAGAAGTAAGGGCGAGGGAGGCGGGGGCTGAAACTCCGCGTCTAAAGAAAGAAAGTGAAACTGGTGGAGGTTGAACGGAATCCTCGCAGGTGCCTCTGCTTTCATTTCCTTCGCTCTCCTGCATCAGTCAGCTTCCTGAGCCCTTCCAGAGGGGCTCTTCCCTGGAAAGTCAGAGCCCGAAGGCAGCCGGGTGGGAACTGGAAAATCCCTGACTTGGGAAAGTCACAGTTGGAAGGACGTGGAAATAACACTTTTCTTTCTGATAGGGGCTAAGTTGGAGACCTGAGCTTCGTCTGAGAGTCAAACGCGCCCGCGGAAGCCACAGCGAGACAGGATCTCCCACCTGGTCCAGGGCAGGGCTCCTCAGGGTGGGCAACGCAAAAGAGATAACGCCTGGATGGGAAGGCGCGGGGCGGGGGGCGGGGCCGGGGAGCAGCAGCCCGGAGGGGAGAGGAGCCTTCTCCGTTCAGCTACGCCTTGCCTCCTGCATCTTTATTCCACAGACATTTACGCCACACTTCACGGGGCGGGGGGTGGGGGGGGTGGTGGGGTGCCAGGCCTCACGGGGCCTCTAGGTTCTCCCCTGAATGGTGGTCAGGGTATCCAGTTGACATGAAGATTGTCTTTAAAAAACACACCAGTGCCGGGCTCACGATAGCTTGGCCCTATGAGTTTTGTTGTCATTATCATTATTATCATCTGGAAGGTTTCCAGGGGGGGTTCCGGCACTCCAGGAACAGAAAGGGCCTTGTGCCACCTTATGTAAAGTGATTGCAATGACATGTCCGTGCATCCAAGGACAGGCAGCAAAATCAGTGGACAGCGGGGCCTGTGAGAGCTGAAGAGACAGAAACTGAGACTCCTGGGCCCCGGGGTCCCTCATTTCTGTTCTCTGTGAGTCTTTCTGAATCTCCTTCTTCTCTCACATATTGACTAAAAGCCTCCTCTACCCCAAGTGCTGGAAATAGCATAAGAGAATCAGGTCCCTGCCCTCATGGGGCTGAGGGTCCGGTTAGGAAGACAGACGGTACCGAGAGACTCACATAATGATCAACCATGTTGGAGCACTTGCCAGATTTTCTTCCTTTTGAAGGCTGAATAATATTCCATTATATGCATGTATTACATTTTATTGACCCATTCATCCATTGATGGACGTTTGGGTTGTTTCCACCTTTGGGCTACTGTGACTGACACTACTATGAAAGTTGGGTGTGGGGGCCTTGCCTGGTGGCGCAGCGGTTGAGAGTCTGCCTGCCAATGCAGGGGACACGGGTTCGAGCCCTGGTCTGGGAGGATCCCACATGCCACGGAGTAACTGGGCCCGTGAGCCACAACTACTGAGCCTGCGCGTCTGGAGGCTGTGCTCCGCAACAAGAGAGGCCGCGATAGTGAGAGGCCCGCGCACCGCGATGAAGAGTGGCCCCCGCTCGCCGCAACTAGAGAAAGCCCTCGCACAGAAACGAAGACCCAACACAGCCATAAATAAATAATAAAAATAAAGACATTCCCTTAAAAAAAGAAAAAAAGTTGGGTGTGCAAATCCAACCTTTTCCTTTTACAAGTGAAAAGAATTATAGTTGTGGAAAGTTGACCAAGAAGAGGCAGAGTTGAAGGACCTAACCCAGTCTGGGGAGGGAGTCAGGGAAGGTTTTCGGCTGAGGAAGTGACATTTTGGCCGGAACCCCAAACACGAGAAGTTAGCCAGGTGAGAAAGTAAATGAAGAAGAGTTTTGGCCACACGTGACAGCCCTGGGACAGAAGGAGGCTTGGGTTGTTCTAGGAATGGAAAGGGGGCCGGTGTGGCAGGGGCATAGTGAAGAAGGGGGCGATGGGCGGGGTGCACCTGAGGGGTCTTGCAGCACTCATTACAGACGGGCTTTTTCCTAAGAGCCTGGTGGACAACAGAAGCCCTCGAAGCAGAAGAGTAAAATGTCCAGATATGGAGTTAAAACAAAAAATGGCTCCTGTTGCAGTGGGAGGAGTGAATTGGAGTTTGGCCAGGTAAGGGGTCAGGAGAGAGCACCACCCCCTTAGACAGCGTCATAGTTGCCCAGGCAAGCAGCGCTGGTGGCCCCAGTCCGCCCTTTTCCGTCCTACCTCCCCAGTCACTCACACTTCTTTTCCCAGATTAGCTATTATCAAAATTTTAAAAATTCACTTCTCTCTATTCCCAGATTTTCAGTAGTGAGCATATATTTATAGTGGGAGAAAGAGACTTGTAAAAGCAAAGGCGTCAATATTATGAAGCAGAATCCACCTGACTCCTGTATAAGGGAGGTAGAATGTGATTTCTTGTGGGGGACAGAGGCTGGGACAGTATGGCCCTATTTGTTAGCATCTAGCAAGTGTTTCCGGGAAATTTCCGCCCTGGACTCACTGCAGGGACTCTACTCCTTAGGATGGCGAGGATGGAGGGAAACATTCCTTATTGGGGGGGGATGAACTGGGGGTGAATAGGAGGTCTCACTTAGCTCAGATGATTCTGTGTGAAATTCCTGCAGTCCTGGCAGCCAGCCACCTCCCTCCATTCCTCCCTGCTTCCTCCTTCCCTCACTTGCTCACGCATCTCACCTGGAAGTTATGTGGATGCAGGGGGGAGAGAGGAGATCTCAAGTTGCAGGAATGAGACATCCTTTTACTTCCCAGCCGAGCTGATCAATTTATATGGACAGGCGTGATCTAATCAATTGTCTTGTAAGGAAAGCAAGGTGTTCATCAAATTCGAATACATTTTCACCACACTGTTCTCCCTCTCACACGTTATCTTGGGCTCAAATTAAACAGTGTAGATTGGACAAATATTTGGATAGTCACTTATCTTGAAGACCCTTGAGATTGCACACTTCTTTCCTTTGTCCCCCACCTTGTCTCTCCCACTCATTACTCAGATATAATTTATGTAATTAATTTATATCCCAAGTCATTCCAAAAAGGAGTTGTTGTGGCTTACCAAATGACAAAACCCAGATAATAAAACCAATGATATATGAACTCAAATAGGAAAACAGATTGGAGAAAAACATTAAAAACCAAAAGTTCATTCCAGTTACTCCAAGGGACCCTAATGCCAGATTTGAAGTGTTTTGCTGATCAGGGTGAAAAAGGAAACTGGATACACATCTCTCTTGATCAGAGAAAAGGATACATTGTGATTTTCTTTTTCAGGGAAGACTTAGCTTTTCTTGGTGCTAAACTTGGAAAGAAATTTCTCCTACGGTACCTGGTAGAGAGACAGAATGAACACTATCTTGACAACCGTTTGGGGTCAAGTCAGAATTTTTTTCTGAAAGAAATTCATATGACTTATTCCAATAACGACTTTTGGTAAATAGTCAAAAACCCTAACGCTGCAGATTTACCCAGAGACGCTGATTCAGTGCGGGCATTTAAAAGCACACTGGAGGAAGCTCAGACTGCCAAGAATTTTTGGAGGCAAAGGCTATTTTCTAATGTATTAGCCATTCTTTTATTTTGCATCTTTGAACATGTAAACATTATGTCACCAGTGTTGTCATCCAAATCATTATGATTTTTAATAGGATGCAATTTTGGGTAAATCCTGTGACACGCAACTATAGACCTATCTCCATGATTAAGGAAGAACTGGGGATTTGATCATTCAGACGCGAGTCCACTTAAGCTAATTCCCATCTGAGCGATGTATTCATTTATACCATGTCTCTTCTCACAGTTGGGCCAATGGGGCATACAGGAGGTGCATAATATAAAATGGTCAGCTATAAATTAAAAATCAAGGCAAGGGAAACATTAACTATGGAGTCAAGACCAGGGTGGGTATAGGGTGAGGTTGGACAGGGTGCAGATATGATGGCATTACAATCCTACTGTTGCTACAGATTGGTTGCAAATTTGTTTTGGGCTTCGGGGGTCGGGCAGTGATAAAGTTCACATTTCCCCTGTGGACCACAAACGTCTTGCTGAAACACAACTATACTGTATCTCCATCATTCTCCTGATCTGTAACCCATTACCTCCATGAAAAACTAACTAGAGACAGTGCAATTTGCTCTTTGCCAACAAGGGCCCCCGGGGCCTTCACTTACGTTTGTGAGAGCTCTTGGGGTCTCTCTGTCTTGCTCTGTGCTGCTGTTCCATTCTCACTTCTACCCCAGGCTTCCTTCCACTGCTCAGACTTTGTGCCCCCCCGCCCCCAACTTTAGCTCATCTATGGCTTTGCCCCACCATGGGCCTGATTCCACCTCAGGGCTTCTTTTCAGATCTGGCCGCCTCTACTACTGGCTCACGTGGTTCCTCCAAGAGTGATAATCTGGTTGGTCCAGTTCATCATTTGACACTTGGCCATGTTACAGGTTGTTGGCCTTTCTATGGACAGGTGGCCAGGGTCAGGTGCTCCAGTGCCCCCAGTCCAGTTAGCCATGGGTCAAGTCACATGGTCGAGAATATGAGCCAGGGAGTGGGGGGAAGGGATGTGGAGGGACCTGTAGGTGAAAGCATTTTCCTCGCAACGACGTTCAAGTCCTGCAGGCAATCAAAGACCCGCCAGGTGGGCTGGCTCTGAACTCGGATTCACCACTCACTCTTCCATCTCCAGCCAGTTGTGGAACCTTTTCCCCACCTTATCAATGAGGATACTGCACCCTCCTTGTGCTTCTTCTTTGGCGGGGGCGGGGGGGGGTTGGTTTTGGTTTTAAGATTACTGAGCTACTACATATGATCTCACTTATAGGTGGAATCTAAAAAAGTGACACAAATGAACTTATTTAGAGGACAGAAACAGACTCACAGACACAGAAAACAAACTTGTGGTTACCAAAGGGGAAAGGGGTGGGGATAAATTAGGAGTTTGGGATTAACAGATACACAAGACTATATATAAAATAGACAATCAACCAGGACCTACTGGATAGCACAGGGAACTCTACTTGATATTCTGTAATAACCTATATGGGAAAAGAATCTGAAAAAGAATGGCTATATGTATACGTATAACTGAATCACTTTGCTGTACACCTGAAACTAACACAACATTGTAAATCAACTATACTCCAACATAAAATAAAAAAATTTTAAAAAGCACTGAGAACCATGACTGACAAGTGTCCTAGATGAGGGAGACATTGTAGGGTGGGGGACACGAATATGACTGGGACTCGGGACACCTGGATTCTGATCCCAAATCCATTGCTGATCCACTGGGGGACGTCAGGCTAGGCACAGGTGACACAAAGTGATACAGGTGGCCACTCTAGATATCTAAAGTTCTTTTCTAGTTTACAGAGCCCTCTCACATCTGTTAAGTAACTTACACAGCATAAATATCCAATGACTAGATGATCTTAAAGTTCTAGCTTTTCAATAAAATCCGATTCTCCAGTAAACACACACACACACATACACACACAATCTCATTATAGACAAATCACCATTTAACCTAATTGAGAAAAAAGAGAGAAAGCCCAAATCAACAAGATAAGAGAATGGGGAAACAATTACAGACACACATCAATTTAAAATGATTCTGAAATTACTTTGCCCGTCCTGATGAATTTGGGAACCTGGATGAAATGGGCGGTTTCTCGCCCTCTGTCACGCACCATCGCGGCGGCCTCGCCAGGGAGGGCGCTGCATCTTATTGCTTTCTGGCAAGTCATTTCCCTGTGAATCAACCAGACCTCAGAGTCTGGTTTCTGAAACGCTTATACTAGCACTTTAACCCAGAGCTAAGATGTCAGAGTGGCGTGGCAGGAACTCGGCTCTTCCGCTGGGATGGGAACCTGATTATCAGAAGACTTGTTTGCTGACTGCCCCTCTGACGGCAACTGCCCACCCACCCTCTTCTGACGTCAGCGTTATCTGCCACGCTCGGGCGCCCAGCTCTACAAGGAAAAACAGTCAAGTCCCTGGTCCTGAGAATCCTGCCTGTTAGACCTGGGAGGTCTCACCCTGTCGGAGACTGGTTAGCTCTAGTCCCTCCTTTATAGATGAATAAAGTGAGGACAAGGGGAATGATGCAGTTGTCAAGTTGAGACTATTTTCATTCATTTTGTGCTCTTTCTATTACATTATCTTTAATGATACTAATATTAATAATAGTAACAACTGATATCTATTGATTTGTGTACTCCTTTATCTCCCCTTAACAACCCTGTTATGTAGGCGGTCATTGTGCCATTCCCATTTTACAGAAACTGAAGCACACAGGGATTAAGTAACTTGCCCAAAGTCACACAGTTTGTTCATTAGTAAATAGCAGAGTTGAGATTTGATCCCACGTAATCTGACTCCAGAGTCTGTACTCTTACCTCCATTGAGTACTCCAAGACTTCTTGTATTATTCTGAGATAATATAGGTCTCGGACTATGGGTATAAAGAAGACACTAGGAATGGTAATTTTTAAGAATCCCAAGAGACATAAGAGAAACTATGGTTTATTTGACATTCACCGTGTGTCAGTCACAGTTCTGTTTTTTTTTAATTTAATTTTTATTTTATATCGGAGTATAGTTGATTTACAACGTTGTGTTAGTTTCAGGTGTACAACAAAGTGATTCCGTTATACAGATACATATATCCATTCTTTTTCAGGTTCTTTTCCCATATAGGTTATTACAGAATATTGAGTAGAGTTCCCTGTGCTATCCAGTAGGTCCTTGTTGATCATCTCTTTTGTTAATATGTATAGCAGTGTGTATATGTTAATCCCAACCTCCTAATTTGTCCCCACCCCTTTCCCTTTGGTAACCGTAAGTTTGTGTTCTGTGTCTGTGAGTCTGTTCCTGTTTTGTAAATAAGTTCATTTGTGTCATTTTTTTTAGATTCCACCTATAAGTGAGATCATATGATATTGTCTAAGCGCTTTTTACATGTATTAGCTCAGTAATGTTAAACCCAAATCAACCCCCCCACACACATAAAGAAAAAGCACAGGGAGTGTGCACCATCCTCATTGACAAGATGGGGGAAAGGTTCCGTAACTGGCTTGAAACCGCACAGCCAGTGGAAATTCCGGGTTCGGAGCCAGCCCATCTGAGGAGCCGGGGCAGCATTCCTCCCCGCCAACCACACTCCACTGCCGGTTGGCCCGGTTACTCATTCCGTCCTCATAGTACCTGACACACAGGTGTCCCTTCCAAACCACTCACTTGCTTTTCTCCCGTGAGAAGAGGAGACCGATGCTCTTACGCAGTTTGCTAAGGCCCATGCAGGGAGCTGGTGGCAGCCCAGCCAGGGGGCCAAGGCCCGTGATGCACCGTTTTCGCTCCCCGGGCTTTGGTGCTGCGGTCCAAGCTCAGCCCCTGCCGCAGAGCCTCCCACGCGGGTCCCGGGTGCGCGGGGCTCACCTGCGGTTCCGCGGGCCCCGGCGGAGCCTGACACCGCCCCCTGGCGGCGGGTGGGCGCCGGCGCAGAGCACTCCCGGCCCGCGGCGCGGCGCGCTGATTGGCCGGCGCGGATTCGGGCAGCTTCCCGGGGGCGCCGCAGGCCGCACCACCCAGCCCTCGCACGGGGACGCCGGCGCGCTCTCCGGGGGCTTCCTCTTCCCTCCGGTGGTGTCCAGGTTCTGCGTCCGCCAGGGTCCAGGATGACAATCCGACACCAAGGTCAGCAGTACAGGCCGAGGATGGCATTTCTGCGGAAGGTGAGCGCGGCCCCATCACCTGGGCCCGGGAGGGGCGCGGGGACCAACTCCGGGAAGTGCCGGCGGCGATGTGGGCAGGGGCGGGGGGCAGCCCTTGTGGTCTTAATAACCACAGGATCTCAGTTTCCAGGCTGCCTCTTGGTCCATGTAGGGCGGTGAGGAGCCCGTTACCAGAAGCTTCCTCCCCACTGGGGCCGCACTGTCCTGGGGGTGTTCTGCCCTCCATGCTCTTGTTCCCAGAGGCTGCCTGTAACCCCAGTGACCTACGGAGGGAGGGGGAGCCTGCACACCTGCACAGGAATGCACGGGGTATTGCCCTTCTTTCTTTCCCCGGCTCCCTTTCCAACCCCTACGGCCACTTCCGGGTGTCAGTCCTCCCACTGACACTACAGCGGTAGGTTTGACAGTTATCCCCATTTTACAGGTAAGGAAACTGAGGCGAGTAAGGACCAGCGCTGGAAGAACGGTCGGTGTGATACAGTGAAGCTGGTCTCGCTACGATGCTAGGAACATAAAGTACAGAGTCTAGTGGGCAGGGGCTTCGGATTCTACTCCAGGAGCCGGGGAGGCCCAGCAGACCCTTGAATCTAAGACTGAAAGATGCTGCATCGGGGCTTCTGCTGGGCCCAGAAGAGGCGGAAGGAAGACCCAGGCGGCGGGAGCAGCGTGCATCAGAGCAGAGGTGTGTGCGAGTCTGGTGTGTTTAACGCAAGTTGTTCCTTGTTGCTGAGATTTTTATACACGGGGAGTGTGAGGTCAGGCAGGCAGGCAAAGATACATGGTAAAAATCTCCTGTGCCTTTCAAAGGTGTCTGATTTTTCCCAAAAGAAGCCGCGGAGGAATTTGGAGCAGGCAAGCAATGTCAGATTCAAGTTCAAAAGACCACTCGGCTGTGAGCCAGAGGAATGGATGGGGTCACTTTTCCCTGAGCTTAGAGAGTTTGCTCAGGGTCCTCCGGTGTCCACTCCAAGTCCAGCTGCTTAGGAAATGACAGGCTTGTGACAGGGCTGGGGGGAACGGTGCTGGTCAGAAGGGCCCTTCTTTCTCCTGTGGCTCCCAGGCTGCCCTCTCGGGCCCAGTGCCACCCCTACGTGGTCGTGACCACCAGCCCCATGTCTGATTTCTTTTTGCACAGCGTGGTGATGGGCGCCCAGCACGGAGGGTCCTGGGCTTGTTTAAGATCTGGCAGAAAGAGGCGGGGCATCCAAAGCCAGGAGCTTTACCTGGTGGAGTAGCTGATGACACACAGTGTCCGAAGAATGTGGCCTCCGGCACCTCCAGGGCTCTGTTCCTGGCCCAGGCTGTCATTTCCTGTGTCCCGGCAGCCCTGACCATCTAGGGGGAGGTGGGAAAAAACTTGCTGCAGCCCTCCGAAAAGCTTTCCTCTTGATTTAGGGAAACAGGTGGTCCTCGGCGAGGACTGCAAGGAATAGGGGTCATAATGAGGCTTTTGGGCTGATTTATTTATTTACTTATTGAAGTGCAGGTGATTTCTAATGTTGTGTTAGTTTCAGGTGTACAGAACAGTGATACATACATAAAATATATATGTGTATATATATACACATGTGGCCTTTCTCCGAGCCCCCCATCATCTCTGTGTTCTGTGTGCATCCCTCCTGCGGGTCTCCTTTCATCAGACACAGGAAAGACCCCCTGGCCCTTTCCCAACACACACACAGACACACACACACACACACACCGAATTGACCCTGCTTTTTCAGATTCTTTTCCCTTACTCTATAAAATACTGAGTAGAGTTTCCTATGCTGTGCAGTAGGTCCTTGTTGGTTAGCTCTTTTATATACAGTAGTGTGTATATGTTAATCCTAGACTCCTAATTTATCCTTCCCCCCCTTTCCCCTTTGGTGACCACAGATTTTTTTTTCTATGTCTGTGGGTCTATTTCTGTTTTGTAAATAAGTTCATTTGTATCTTTTTCTTTATTTAAGATTCCGTGTATAAGCGATACCATATGATACTTGTCTTCCTCTGTCTGGCTTACTTCACTTAGTGTGATCACCTCCGGGTCCATCCATGTTGCTGCAAATGGCATGATTTCATTCGTTTTTATGGCTGAGTAATAGTCCATAGTATATACATACACATATGTATGCGTGTGCCACATCTTCTTAATCCGCTCCTATGTCGATGAGCATTTGGGTTGCGTCCATGTCTCGGCTGTTGTGAATAGTGCTGCTATGCACGTTGGTGTGCGTGTATCTTTTCAAATTATAGTATAGGGTTGGGCTGATTTAGAATTGCTGGTATCATTTATACAATGCTCCCACAACAAGCATTTATTAAGCACCTACTATGTGTCAGACATCGTTAGATGCTGGATAACAAAGACAGTGGGGCCGTGGTCCCTGTCCTCAAGTGGCTTCTAGTCTAGTAGTGGGAGGCGGTCACGTACACCAACCCTGTGGCACATCACAGGTGCAATGGCAAATGCCTGGAGGGTAGAGGAAGCGCCCTTGCAGGCATTCACCTTATCCTGGGTGGAGTGTCACAGAAGGGTTCTGGAAGATTTGGTGGTGGCTTAGCTGGAGCTTGGAGGATGTTCTTGAGGCCGGAAGAGGACCAGGACACAGGAGGAGGGACGTGCATAGCGCCGTGGATCTGTGGCCTGTGTGTTATTGACTGGGGCCCAATGGCGATGGCCAACAGGCAGTTCTGTTTCTAGAGGGAGGCTCTGGAAGACTTGACAGTGGTTCTCAGTGGTTATTGGGGATGTAACAAAAGTTATATCGAGGCTGGATGCAGCTAAGAGGCCACATGGTGGGGGGCTTGGGCATTTGGGCTGTGGACGGCAGCGCTATAGTTGGGACACGAGCCCTTATGAGGAAAGAAAGATCACTGCTTACAGCTTTGCACAGCAAAGGGCGTGATGAGTCTTGTCGGCAGGGAGCCCTCTCTGGTTTATGGGAGCTCCGCTCGCTGAGATCTCGTGGAGAGTGACAGCCACGTAATGTGAGGAGAAACCATGACTGTGGGCAGACGGATGTTGAAGCCATGGCTTCTGATACTTTTAGTGACTGGGTTCCTTGAAATGCTTGATGTCATACCTCAGTGAGCTGGAATCTGAGAGTGGAGACGCTAGGCCTACTGTGGGGTCTGACAGGCCAACGATGACCTCTTGTTACAGCCGGGAAGCTGAGGCTGTGGTCTGGTCAACTGTGTGTGTGTGTGTGTGTGTGTGTGTGTGTCTGTGTGTTGGGAAAGGGCCAGGGGGTCTTCCCTGTGTCTGATGAAAGGAGACCCGCAGGAGGGATGCACACAGAACACAGAGATGATGGGGGGCTCGGAGAAAGGCCACAGCATCATCCTTTCTGAAGAGCTTTAAAATCAAGGCAGGTTTTCTGTTGTTGGTGGACAGAGTTTCTGCTTAAGAAAAGGAGGTGGCTGAGGTTGCCTCTCTGAGAGCCTAGGGGTCAGTCATATTTTTGTTTTGCACTTTACATTTATTATAACTTTTTAAAAGGGAACCACTTAAGTGAATTTACCAAGGAAAATTATTCTGTGCCCTAATGGGAAGACTCCTGTCTGAGTCCATTGGGGCTGCTGTAACAAAATACCACAGCCTGGGTAGCTTCCAAACAACAGAAATTTATTTCTCCCTCTTCTGGAGGCTGGAGGTCTGAGATCAGGGTGCCAGCAAGCAGGGTTGGGCTCTGGTGAGGACCCTCTTCCTGGTCGCAGACTTCTGGCTGTGTTCTCACGTGGTAGAAGGGGCGAGGGAGCTTCCGGGTCTCCTTTATACGGGCACTAATCCCACACATGAGGATTCCACCCTCGTCACCCCACCTACTGTGGGAGATGATTGCTTTGGGGGTTAGGTTGAATCTGGGGGGGACACAAACGTTCAGACCATGGTAACTCCCTAAGAACATACATGGTGCACACATGTTCCCCTCTTCCTGGCAAACCCTTTGTGCAAAGTGGGCCCTCCCTGCTGGAAAGAAATTTGTCTCTGTTGGGTTTTTGAAAATAGCTCTTGTTAATCCCCTTTGAAGGGTTTCAAATTCTTTGTAGATTGGTTTTTTTTAACACAAAGGGAAAGGAATGAGCCTGCTGTTTTTTTGTTTTTTTTTTTTCATCAGAGGCGTTTACATTTCTAACTGGCAAAGCAGGTAAAACACCTAACTAGCTCCCCCTGATTCTCTGCTCAGAAGCTGGTGGCTTCACCCAACGAAGTACAGTATTTTCAGGAAGAGTTGTGTATAACTTGCAAAGCTGTGAGGGAGAGGATGGAGCTCTAAGCCCTGTCATCAGAAATGAGCGTAACAGGTGTGTGTGCGTGTGTGTGTATGCGTGTGTGCGTGTGCGTGTGCGTGTGTGTGTTGGGGAAGGAGTGACCCCTGCCGCCCCTCGGTCCCCGCCCGCGTCCGGGGGAAGCAGCCGCCCTCCGGCCACCTCCTGGGGTGTCCCGCGCCCCCTTCTCCGCTGGGAGCCGCTCGGTGCCCCCGCGGCCCGAGACGCCCCCAGGCCCCGACCTCGCAGGAGGCCAAGCACTGCAGCTCCGAGTGGAGCGGAAACGCGTCATTTCCGTTCCAGAAGGATCCCGCGAGCCGAGAGCGCGTCTGTGCGGACGGGCTCGCGCTGGGTCTTGCACGAGGAGCCCCGGGCGGCCCTGGGCCCCGGCCGGTCCCGCGGGCAGCTGAGGGGCCGGCGCTGGGCCCGGAGCGGCCGTGACCTTTGCCCCTGATCTCAGCCGCTTCTCGGGATTGTGGTTCTGCTGCCGGTGCTGGTTTAGCAGCAGGTGGAAATAGGACAGCCCAGCCCTCGGCGCTGACCTAGGACGTCGTGTGTCCCCCCTCCTCCCGCCCTGGGGACGTGGGGGGCCTGCCAGCCTCCGGGGTGGCGGGTGGAGTGTCTCCAGTTCAGGGCTCCCCGCCTGACCTTTCACCTCCAGCGCAGCCAGGTCAGTGTGCACCCACCCCGGCCTGGCCACATCGTGGGCTCCCTTCAAAGTCCACTCCCTCCAGGAAGCACCCGTTGACCATCCAGAAGATCTCCGCTCCCTCTGAGCTCCTGTGCAGCACCCGTACGCCCAGCTGCGGCACGCTTTATCCTGTGCTGTGTGTTCATCTCTGCCTGTCTCCGTATCTTGCTGCCCCGGCTCCCAGAGGACAGAGATTGTGTAGTTTATTGGTAGCGATCACACATTTGGCTCCAGAGGAAGCATCAGTTCAGTCGCTCTCTGTGGATTCGGTTGTCTGGCTGAGCTTTTCTCATGTAACCTTACTGGCTGACCCCTAAAGGGCATCATGTGACAATAACTTCTGTCACTGCCACTCCCACCCCGGATGTCACTGTTCCTGGATTGCCTTAGAGATGGTAAAGCTGTTTCACATTCGGTATTTTCATTCGATCTTCACAACTGCTTGTTTAAGTAGGTGAAGCGGGTATTGCATATTTCTGCAGTGGATGAAAACCCTGAGGTTCAGAGAAGTTAGATGACTGGCCCAGGGTCACAGAGCTGACATAGAAAGCGTCCGAGAGGCTGGGAAGACCACTGCCCCGTTCAGACCACGGGTACCTTCATGCCTGTAAAAGGGCCTTGTGAACTGAGGGTTTATACAAGGTTACATGGAATTGGATGAACTGCAGGAAAATCGCTAGAGTAATACAGTGAGATAAGGAGGGAGCAATCGGTCTGGACGGCTTTGGACTAGGTGG